TATAGAAAGAGAGAGCACAATCTCAGGGGATGGGTCAAAAGGAGGTGTCTCAGGTTCGAGTCGCAGCTGAGGCAGGTTGATACGAATTCTGCTCCCGGCAAACACAGACCACGGTGCTAACATAAAATATCCTCAGTGGTAGAGGGATCATGGGTTAGAACCCTCTTGCCATCGATCTAACCTTGAGAAATTTTCGTGAGTTTTCTCTCCATGTTACACAAACGCGGGTAAGTTCCATCAAAAAGTCTTCCACGAAGGCTAGTTTGTTCCAATGCTTGTTCCAGAAGTTTCCTTATCTTCTGGGTTGGGTTCAAAAATGCAGGGCTATGGCGAGTGAACACTGAGAGTCGTAAACTCAGATTGGGGTCGGCTGTTCAATGCCGTTATAAAGTAAAATACCTCGTTCCAAAAAATAAGGGGAAAAAATTATCAGCCATGCAATATCTTAATGCATACTGTTCAAACTCACCCTTAAATGTTTAATGTTTCCCTCCTCCGCAAGAGGTCGTTGCTAAGTTGATTGTTCTTGCAGAAAATGATTTAGATTTGCTCCCGCTACGTAAGATATCTTACGCCATCTACTACTGTTTGTTTACTAAGTTTTTCCCTGGAATAAATAATTTGTTTTGTTCAAGCTGCTCCCTCACACACACATTATAACAGTTAAATCACAGCGTTTTAAAACTTAGCCATTGGTGTATAACCAATATATATTAAAAATACAAGTTGGGGTGAATTAAGTAGCCTATTATACACGCCTAAATTTGGAGTGGATAAAGTTGTCTATTAAAGTGTCTTAATACGACACTGAATACTATATTGCTCCCCTGACAATATCGTAGAAAAAAGAATTCAATCCATAGCAATCGCTTCAACTTATAACAGTTTGCAATGAAACGGTTTAGATAATTCAATAAGACGATCTTCGCAAGGGTTTGGCTTCATTTACGAGACGTTATGCAAAATTTAAAAAAGAACTTTTTATATCTCAGTAACTTTACAACCTCACGTATTTTTATTAAGTCATTTATAACGTTAAGTAGAGTTTCATTTACATTTTGCCTATGACTTCTATACCCATTATCAAAATGGCGCATTATGACAATATGAAGAAAAGCCATGTTATGTTTGATGTAGATAATTTATTAGAAATTTTAAACATTCTTCAAGAAACTAAATATGCTATGTTCGATACCTAAACATTTCCTTTTTGATTGACCTAGTCCCTATTAAATCATATTCTAGAAAACTCTGAATTTATTGTAATAAATTATAGAATTACTTCGATTAGTCTACTATATTGTTATATATAAAATACAGAGCGCTAAAAAAATATCATGAATAACTTTTGATCTAATGGTTGTATTTTCACGTACCAGGACTCTAACTTAATGGTTCGTAGAGGTGACCTTAAATATTCTAATTAATGTTTGCAAACGATATTTTAAGTTAAGAAATCAGACACAAAAACGTACTTTCTCTGAATAAACATACCTTTTTTTGGCTGGATTTATATTTCTTACCCTCAAAATGTAGGGGGTAGTTGCAATTTGAGTTTGATCAGGAGAGCGGTCCAAGGCTTAGACCCTTTAATGTTAATTTAACTTTTTGCGTATTTCGCTATATCTGAAAAACTTTTAAGGTAATTAAAAAATTTAGAACACATTTATAAAATGCGTTTATCCAAAGATAATTCCCTGCAAAAAATAATTTATATTAATTTTTTATTATTTTATTTATTAACAGTCGAAATTTTTTTTAATTGTAAGTGAAACATTTTTTGCATCATTTTAAAGAATGTAAGTTTACATTACAAAATACACCCTCTGAAAGAAATCAGTCAAATAGTTCCTGATAAATCGAATTTTAAATTAATGACTTTTTATAAAATTCCATTTCTCATGAATTATTCGGACGATTTCGATTTAAAAAAAGTTTATTTTGAAATGTAAAATAAATTCTTTAAAATGAAGTAAAAATTTGTATAGCTTACAATTAAAACTTTTTCTACTGCTATTAAGTAAAATAATAAATATTTATTAAAAACTAATTTTTGCATGGAATTATCTTTGGAAAACTAAATTTTCATAATTGTAATCAAAAAATTTTTAGTTTGCTTAAAAAAATTCTTGAGATATGGTGAAATAAGCAAATCTCATACATTCTGAAATTTATTTTCGCAAATAAATCATAAAATGTCGCTCAACATGTTCTTCAATTACGATCAGCTATATTTATTACCAAATATCACCATTATGACTTGTTTGTTTTTTATTTTTCAATTTCCAAGCTTATTTTACGATTCTCACCATCACTATATATATCTGTTACGATACTCTCTTTTTAAACAAAGTTTGTTAAGTCCTTAAGATACAGATAAGATGGTGGCAACAAAACTCAAAAGAAAACAAATTTCCATTTCATTACTCTAAATATCTGGTTTCAACATTTTACTTTTAAAGTTATATATAGCTTCATAGTTACAATATTAATGCTTCGATTCTCTTAATTTTCTTAAGGATCACATGAACCCTGTTGAAATATTAAAATACAGATGTTTACTTTTACGAGCATAAATTTCCTATCAAAGTAATGATTAAGACCCAAATGTAAAACCGTATAACTGATGATAAAGAATTTACAGGCTTCAAAGAACATGAAGATGAAAATGGCGATATGATTCGAGCGTTCAAAAATAGATGCCCAAAACTCGTGAATGATTTGTGGCGTTAATTTTTGGACGCTCAAAAAATGTCTTCTTTTGTTATCATCTTTGTATCTTTTTTAAATTCAATCAAGTTTTTAACTTTTCACTTCAGTTTCATAGGATCATTCATTTAGTGGCACAGTCACTCTAAGCACTTCACTCGATATTAAAATAAGTTTTGCGTACGTTTCATCATTAATCATTGGCTCTAAGAAAAAATAATAATCAGTCAATAATAATTAACAACATTTTAAAAAGTCAATGCAGTTGATTTTTTTTTATGCTGGCTTTAAAAACCTTTTTTAAGACTTAAAAAAATTACGTTTACTATTGAAATTTCAAAATTGGAATGAGAAAATGGAATGGTTCTAGCACCAGGAATCAAAGTTAAGCAGTTTTAAGGACAGTTATTTAAAACAATTTGATGTTTTTGTCCCCTATGAAATTGTTTGAAAATGCATTTTTATTAATCTGTAAAGTTTTTTTTTTCTAGTGGCAGGTACTGAACTTCCGCTCTTCACCAAGGAAGATGCCGAAGTGTTGCTCCTTTAATGTTACTCAGTGGGCACCTGTGAACTTAAGTGACGGAGGCGATTAACATTACCCACGCCATACTGCAGTTTATAGGGTGGGTCATATTCACACATCACACTTAACAGAAGACAACACAGAAGGAGAGAAGCATCCATGCCCTGAGCGGGATTCGAACACGCAGCCATTGGCTTCGCAGTCAGGCACGCTAACCGCTCGGCCGCCTGGTCAGCATCTCTAAAGTAAATGTTCTAAAAATGACAGATATCTTAAATTAAAAGGTGATTTAAGTCCTTAAAATGACAGATATCTTAGATTAAAAAGTGGTCGAAGTTCTAAAAATGACAGATGTCTTAAATTAAAAAGTGATCGAAGTCCTAAAAATGACAGATATCTTAAATTAAAAAGTGGTCTAAGTCCTAAAAATGGCAGATATCTTAGATTAAAAAGTGGTCGAAGTCCTAAAAATGACAGATGTCTTAAATTAAAAAGTGGTCGAAGTCCTAAAAATGACAGATATCTTAAATTAAAAAGTGGTCTAAGTTCTAAAAATGACAAATATCTTAGATTAAAAAGTGGTCTAAGTCCTAAAAATGACAGATATCTTAAATTAAAAAGTGGTCGAAGTCAGCAGTTCCTAAATGGTGCTCCGCGTTACCTTGGAGATCCGTGGAAGAGTAAAAGGGATTCAGACAGTTAGGATATTTTTTTACATCAGTAATATTTTTTGAAAACTTCTTTATATTTAGATTTAATAACTAATTTATTTCGTGTTATTATTATTCGGTAATTTATTATTAATTTATTTCGATTGCCTTAATAAAATTAATTAAAGTAAATTACCAATGAAAAAGAAATGCAATTTTTTTTTAATATTATTTTACTACGAACAATATGTTAAATATATTATAAAAAGAACCTGCATTTTTGAGAAATTGAGTTCATATTTCCCATCGCGCTTTTCAAATCAAAATAAAATACCTAAAATAGTTAATCATGAAGTATATTCCATTTGTAAATATTTTCAACGTTTATAACAGTTCTTTTAGCTTTCATTTATATAAAAACCATAATGCAGCTTATTTTCTTCATTTCGCACCAATGTATATACCCCAAAAACAAATTTAAACTTTATTAAATACAGCTGTGTGCGAATTTAATAAAACATAATTTAAAATTATTAATGAAAAAACTATAAAAATCGATTCAATGTTTCGAAAATTGTTTTATATTTTATTTTCTTTGTTTTGCATTGTTTTTATATACTTTATTATTTATAAATTCGGGATTCCGCAGAAAAGAGTTCATTCATTTAAGGTTCTATAGCTGAAAAAAATTAGGAATCGCCGGTCTAAGTACTATGAATGAATGATGTTACGTTTGATAATGAAAAATTCATGTTTGTCAGAAATAGTTTACAGAAAAATTCATAGATGTTAATTAATGCATAAAAATCCTTAATATTCAACGGTAATGGCATATTTGTAAAAAAAAAAATATTTTGAAAGTATTAAATGCAAAATATGCCATTTAAAAAAATAATGAATAAATATTTTGCTAATATATTCACATTAATTTAATAGCTTATTTTCTTTTAAACTTAAGAACAGATGCAACTTAAGTCTAATACTTCTGAAATTGTTTATAGCTGCGTCTGAGAATTGGGCTGAAAATATAGGAATTATTATAGAGATTGATATCATTTAGATCTATAGAAAGAGATCTTGAGGCGTGCCTAGAATGGGTGTTGGCTCGAGTTGTTTTACTTCCCGGTAATTATGCATCTTTTGAAGGTTGAAAACATCCTCTGAAATTGAACTCTTGTTCATCATCTTTTTCTTTTTTGAAGCTAAATACTACTTTTTAATTTACCTGAATTTTAATTATCAAAATTAAGTTTGATAAAATGTGTTTCATAAAATGTTTGAACAAAAATTACATTCTTCAGAATGCGAGTCATTGAATTACTTTTGTTTGGTCAAATATAATATGTATTTTGAAAATACAAATCTTTTTTCTTTCTTCCTAAAACTATGAATGAATTGAAAATGAAAAACAAAAAATTATCAACTCTCAAATTATTATTTTTTTTTAACTTTTAAGGATTAAAACTCAGTTGTACTAACATTTTTCCAAGAATTCAATTAATTTTGATTGTTTACATTGATGACTGAAAAATAATATTGTCAAGAGGAAAATGAAATTTCGAAATTTGTTAAGAAAACTCCAATTAAAAGGAAAAATTAAAAAAGCTAACTGAAAAAATACACAAAATTTCCTGACACTTAATTCATTATACATTAATTTCTACAAAAAAATAAACATTTAATTTTAAACCAATAATTATATTTATTTTGGAAAGTAGAAATCGTTTTACTAATCTTTCTCAGCTGAATAAATTATTATATATAATCGTTTGAAATAAAACAAAAAAATAAAAACATTTGCTGTTCAAATTATCGTTTTTAAAATCTTTTAACAAACAACATTTTTCCTCTGAACTATTATTAATATTTCAATTAAAGAATTTTCTGCATTTTTAAACGATCATAAAAGTGCTTTAAAATCTATTATTGCATGTTATAACTTAACTACGTTTCTTAACTATGCATATAATGTCTCTTCGGCGTTTAGAAGACGGAATCCAAAATTTAAGGTTTGTGTCAAATGAATTATTAGAAGATTGGTTATTCGATTTATTAAAAAAGAATCAGGAAAGAGTTTCTGCTGCTACAACGCTGGAATACTTATGGTCGCAAGAAGTTGTCGAATTTATATTCAACATTTGCTCCTCTTTTAAACTAAAAAGTGACGTCAAGTACACAGCTCTTGAGATATACGAAAGGTTTGTTGGAAATCATGTCTTGGAACTTTACAGGACTGTTAAAAATAGTCGAAATTCCAGAACGCCTTTAGTTTGGGAAGATATCAAAGCTAGAATCGGAGAACAAGTAATTCTACGGGTGATAACGTCTGTACAATTGGCAAGTAAACTTAATTCCCATTACAATCACATCACGCCAGATCAAGTGTTCCAGTTTTTGGTCAATTCTGGAAAAAGCTACAGTAAATCGGGAATATTTAATTCTGAACTTAGACTGATGAGAAGTCTAAATTACAAGGTTAACGTCACAACACCGTCTATTTATGTCAATACACTTTTATGCGTACTTTTTACGAATGATCCGTCTTTGGAAGATATTTTGTTTACAACATCTGTCAAAACGTTAGACTTCGTTTACCTAAACAGAACGCGAGTTTACAATCATCTGTACGAAAGTATTACCGGCCTTTCTGTTGCTAATTCAGTACAAGACAATGAGATATTTTTGAAAATCAAAGCCGATTATATGCTACTAGCGGGATCTATAATAGCCACTGCTGCTTATATGGTAATGAAAGACAAATGGAATAAACTCTTAGAGCAACTGCACCAAGTTACGCGAATTCTCAAAAGAGATATAAAGAATTTCAGCATTGTCATAATAGATGTTATGACAGAATTCCTTAAAGAGTGAAATATGTTAAGAGAACTTCTGTTACAAACGCATTGTAAAATGTATGTAAAGTTAATTATTCTAATTGTAAAAAAATATTGATTGTACAACAATTATAATATAGTATTATACTTTAAGTATTGTAATTACTTTATGTAGTTATTTTACACATTAATATAGACTTAACAGTGGTTTGTAAGTTTTGTGCAACACTCCGTATTTAATTGCCCTGCTCGCTGCTCTCATTAGCCATGCAATGACTTCGCAATCATTTTGTTTCCTGACAATAAACAGATTATCAGATCCCAGTTCTATTTTGTTTTTATTTTATTAACCTAGACTTGTTTCCATAGATTAAGTTTTCTATTCAACCGAGATACTAGGAGATAAGTTCCCCTGTTTGCTGCCATTCACCGGTGACCATCCCCGATTATTGCTTCGCAATAATTTATGTTTCCTGACATGAAACAGTGTTTTCTACGAAAATTGCAATTATTCTCTTAAGCTACATGTATTACAAAGAGTTTTGTTTGCTTACATTTCAGCCCCCACTCCCCACACCTAAACCAAACATTTCCCATGTGATTCTATTAAGATCTATTAGTAAATATAAATAATTTAACTTAATAATCTTTTTCTTTAAAATAACATTTAAAATCAACCGTATCGTAAGTTCTCAACCGTAATTTAATATTTTGCTTACCAAACAGGTTAGTTTATTACAGTTTGTGCAAGCTTTACATAGCGGATGACTATAAACCGGGGAGATGAAGAATTGGTTTTAAAATCGACTGTTTTATCAAGTACTCTAATTTCAAAGTATATCTCAAAAAACTCATACTATTTTAATGGGATGCCTGCAAATGACGTAATGTGGTTATGACGATCCTGATTGATTGTTGAAACATGGCATTTGTTTAAGTTAGCAACTGTTCTTTCCATTCCATTACGAGACGGTCAAGCTTCAAGTATCAATTCTTTTTAGTGATACATTCTATAATCCTTGACAAAGATTCTCTTATAAAGATTTCAATTATTTCACTATATATTTCTTACTTAACTCGAAGGCAGACATGAAGCCATGAAGAACACAAACAAAATAATTATGCATCGAAATTACCAGGTACTCAAAGCAAAAATATATTATTGATTACAATAAAATACCCAAAAAAATAATCAATCTGAGAAAGAATTATCACTTAACAAATTTGATGTGCGATACGGCTCTAATTAACTTCACGTTGATTAACTTTCTAATTTATGAGGAGAAACTTAGCTCAACTTTAATATGCCATTTTGCTCATTAATGATCAGCTGGCGCTGACGTCTCGCGTGGGTATCATCTGTGATCTTCATCTTGAAGTGCAAGTACCCAATTATACCTAATTGTAGGTATTTAATCCTTTGAACCCCATGAAAAAACCGATAGCAAAAAATTTTAGAGTTTAGAAAAAAAAGCTATAGTATATTATGAAAGACGAAATGAGAAAGTTTTAATTTATAGATAAGGTATTATTTTCCTAGAATGGAATAAAAATGAATTGTTTAATTTCAGAATAAAAAAAAGAATTAAAAGAAAAAATACGACGCCGAAGGGACCACCGAAAAATCGTCGTATAAACGATGCTCCACTGTAGTAAGTATTTTATTTATCTTTAAGAATATGAAAATATTAATCAATAAAAAGTAGCGTTTAAGAATAGTAAACTTAGTATTTCTGCATTAAAAGTTGGGGTCACAAGAGAGTTTTGCAGTAACCAAGATGGAGGCACGTCGCTACTTATCTAAGTATCCAGGGTTATGGGTGATTCTCAAAAAATATGACAATTCACTGTCCCTTGTTCCAAGATCTAATACTATAATACTAAAAGAACCTTTTTTTTAAAAAAAATTAATAAATAGCATTGCTGTTAGCATTTTAAAATGTCTTTGCACCAGCATTTACCTACTGTTTTGTATACTTAAAAAATTTAATTGAATATCAAACTGTCATTTTCTTGGCATGTCCCAAACAATGTTTCCAATAATAACTAGCTTCAAAACTTCCCATAAGTTTTTCAATATCTAATTTTTTTTTTATCTCAACCGGTGTAAACATTTCTAGAATATGCGCAGAGGGTATTATTTACAAAAAAAATAGTGCGTGGAGTCCCTCCGCACGGAAGAAGTTAAACTTCGTAACCTGCGACGTTAATTGTAGAAGAATCAGCAGTCGTAGAAGGATCACTAGTTCTATTCAACGACTCTTTCTTCTGCTCCTCTCGCTTCCGTGCTCTGTAATAACGGTAATATTGTGCATTTTTCCCTCGTGGACCTCTTGAACCAGTGGAAGTGCTTGTGGTTGCCTCATCGTCTCGCCATGGAAAATGTATTTGTATTAATAATGTATGTGAATGCGTCATAATGTAATTTCAAAAGAGAAAACCCAACAATCATTTGATATTCACAAGAGACGTACCTTGACATAATCTTAAATCCGTCGCATTGTCCGTGGGATTGTTTTCACTCATTTTCTACAATTGTTATTCACTAAATATGAAAATAAAAAAATACTACCCTATTAAATTATGGGAAAAATATACTTGAGGGTGCCCCTTGGCGAAATTGGCGACTTATGTTTGGCGCCATACTTGTTTGCCCGGAACGCCGTGGTAACCCACAAACAAGACATTTATATCTATTACTAATTAAACCTTCATTCATACACCAGTCAATGACTGTTTTTTTTTTTCATTGTTATTAAAATCGTACAGAAGCTTAAGATTTATCTTATTGACAGTATTCATTTTTAGTACCAGAAGCAAAAATAACCTTACCAGCCGGTATCCAAAGTAGAACAAATGGATCTCTGAAATTACATTTAAAAAT